TCGCAGCTCTAAGAATGGTGATTAAGTTGGTTGTTACGCCCTGGTAATCAATAATACCATTTCATGCACGATTCAGCATCGTGCCACAAAGCCAGGAGAATTACAGCGTCCGTGGCAGAAAATAATACCCATTTGTCCTGACCGGTGAATTCACCAAACATGAACTCCATATAGACATGTGGGAGCTCACCAAACGGTCGATTGCCAAGCAATTAATCAACACTAAGGGTAAGTTAATTGAAACTCTCAACTTAGAATGGCTTCACAACATTGAACTAGATTCAAACGCCTGTGTAGAGAGCGTCCCGCGACGCATTGAAGCTATAATCGTATCAAAGGGTGGCGCCCCTAAATCCTAGTATTAATTTTATCTAAAAATACTTGTACATAAATATGTTTTTTAATCATTTTAATAATACACTCTCAACAATAAAAAATACCTCAGAGACCAACAGCCAAAAATGTGCTTGAAAAATGCAGTTAAACTACAAAACACCAAAATGTTAGTCTTTAATAATTTGGCCACCTACTATAAGCTTAGCCACCTACTAAAGCAGAAGCCTTCTTGAATGAAGAAAGAACAAACTGACAAAAAGAGAATCGGAAAATCTGGGAGATATTTTGTACTAGAATATAAAAACTTCGAAGCCTGAAATGCCACACTTCTGGCAATTGCAGCAACAAAAATTGGGATAGATAACTTCTCCAACGCAAATGAAGTGAATACGAAAAAGTTTACGGAAAATTTGCCTTGCACACAGTTGCTTGCGCGCTGACTACGCAGCAGCACGTAAAAGAACATGCATAAGCAGCGAGAAAAATATCTCATCTTGCATGCCATTACTAGCTCTGTGTAAACAGCCATTTCCAGTCGCTATCTAGGTGGTGGCAATGCCGTAACTGGCACATCAGTATTGGCAACGTGTGAACTTTCCGTTAGCTATGACCAAGCCCAAATATTACGTACGTGTAGGCCACCAAATCAACTGTTTTCTTCTGTTACCAACGCTATCAAGTTGTTTCAATTGCATTACACGAAATGGCGTCAAATGTTGATTAAAACTTGCCAAGCAAAAGATATTGAAAATAATTTTCAAAAAAATGTTAACATTATAATCATTGGATAATACTCTAAGCGTGTGACTTAAATATTGAAATTCAACCCATTAAAATGCAAACATATTTGTGTTATTGAAAATCTATTAGGATATTTTTGGGTAGGCTCGCGTGGACAAATGTGAGATTATAAAGATAATTGACCACTAGAGTATAAACGTAGGACTTCGAATAAACTATTTTAACTCAAGAAAAACATGCGGCGTCACGCGCCCCCCTTCTTGCAACAGCCACGATCCCTGACCGCATTCGATGTTGATGACACCCTCGCCCCAACGGCCAAAGAAGGGTAACTTGTAAGGCGCCCACATCTGGAATACTTCCGAAACGCCTGTCATCGTGATCGGGGAACCGAAGCAATAAGTCAGTACGTGGAAGCCCCTTCAGAGACTTAGCCTACTTTCGAGGCGACAACAGAGAAGGACATCTATGTTTCCGACGGAGACAGAAACAGACTGGAAAATTCCTATCTCTCCGCCGAAGCCTATTGGCCAAATTTAGTGTACAACGCCATCACCTTTAGCCAATAGCGACGCGATCGTTGTAGGGAGCAAGAACATATGACGGAGAGGGGGGGATTAAAAGTTAAACTTCGTGCATTTATGAGAAACAAATTTCAGTTGGGAGAGAGACTTCTCTGGGGTGGGAGCCAGTCGGCGGAGAAGGCGAGTGCGCCTCTGAAGACACTTTGTTCAATTTCAGTCGTAGAGAGACTTCTCTGGGGTGGGAAGCCAAGCTTATTCGCGGGGAGAGGCGAGTGTGCCTCTGAAAGCACTTCGTTGACATCGACTGGGTGATAGACCGGAATTCTCAGTGAGAATTTTAGAGGAAGTGCAAAAACAACTTCAAAAGTAAATTGGCCGAATCCTTTGTAATTGCGTATTCGCTACAGGATTTCGCAACTTCTGAATTTGTATTTGAGAGGATTGCATAGTTCAGAGGGAGAATATTGTTGTGTGCTCCGCACCTGCGATCGGGGGTGATATACCCCGATTATCTAACAGTTCCAGCAGAAGCAGCTCCAGACGACCCATCTTGCTGACGTCACGGACGGCCGCCAGACGCCAACTGACCGCCGCAGCCGCCGTTGGTGAGCGGCGTGCGCCCCGAACGAATTCCTGCGAAGGTCGCCCTACCGCGCCCCTCAGGCCCCTCGATAGCACATCTGCCACGAAGGGCGCTCAGGCAATGTAACTGGGGGCAATAAACCTTTTGAAGTATTGTCCAAAGCGGTGCCGCGCCAGGGCACAAGAAAGGTCCTCAGGGACAACGCTGTAAAATCCTAGCTATAAAATAATTTTTGTACTCTTCTCTAGTGTAAGCCTTTTCTTCAATTTTAATCTCTTGTTTCTTGTTCTTTTTATTCAATCTTTCCTTTCTTTTTTATTTTATTAATGGAACTTCCCTGGTACGTTTGTCCAGGAATAAACTTTGTCTTTTACAGTGATCAAAATGTTTATTTTGAATATCCATTAAGTTTTCGTTAATAATTCCTTCCATCACCTAATTTTAAATGAGCAAAGGAAATTGTTACAATTGGCTAAATTTTAAACGAGCAAAGGGAATAGGAACCGACTGAGCATATAACCGGGCCGCTACCGCGCATTTCCCTTCGCCGAGAGAGATGAGTGGAGGTGTTACAATATATGTATTAAATTCTAGTTAACTAAGTATTGAAAGTTTCTCTAGTTCTGTGGAAATTAACGAACGTTTTGGAGATGTGTACATAAAATTCTGGATTTTTCCAAACGATTATTTAAGTTTAATGTAATGATAATCAAAACATAAAATTAAAATCTACCAATGAATTTCCGTTTTTAACTATTTTACTCCACACGCTGAGTAAGTCACAAATCTTTAAAGCGAATATGATTTTTTATGTTTGACTAGCCAAGTCTACAAATGTTTGATTTTCCTCGGCGAAATCATGAAAATACCCAAGTGTGTGGTTTCGCCAGCAGGACAAATTTTATAATATTTGTGTAGAATTTGCGAAGTCGCCCCTGTACGCAGGAAAACCGAAATATATAATATTTGATTTAGCGATCTCATTCTTTTATCTCCTTCTCCTGTCATTGGGTTTCTGTTACTTATTATCAACAAATACCACACAGATTATTTAATAATGACTGTGATATGATAAGTATTAATTTTATTCGTAACAATATTCGCGAAAGATAATACGGACATATACATTTCCCTTTGAATATACCAACAACATATCTTGAAAGAAACAACTCCAAATAACATTAACTCATTTATATATATGTAATATACATTTAATTCGCGCGAGTACACTTATTTTGAAATTCAAATTGATTCTAATGACCAGTTACTAAATAATACGTAATTAATTACATGTCTTGGCCTTACAAAATCATTTCAGATCTACGTGACCTTGGTTGCTGGACCCTGGAGTTGTTGTCTGTCTATAAGCATTGTTGCACTGTTCTTCTTTACCATGCAATTTGAAACAAAGGACAGTTCTTCTCTCCGGTCAAACTCGCTGTAAATTTTTACATTCCAATTTTTAGATGTCTTTAGTTTTCCTTAATGTCTTTATTGCAATAATTTCTAACTAAAATCCAAATAATACATTTAATTACCTTTCCCTTTTCCAAATTCCTAATCGTCATCTTCTAAACGTTTGTGTTATCGCCCATTTCTTACAAAACTTTCAATTGTCTTTGCCAAATATACGAACATTCATTTAATAAAAGTTTTTCGTTATTCGATAATAACCTAGTTCGAGTGACTGTGTATATCTTTCCTAAATGTTTTGTTTATTTATTTACTCTTTACAGGTCTGCTAACAGCACTGTTCCTTGGATTTTTAGAAATGAATAACTCTTTACTCTTCCACCCATGTACCTTGGAATGTTTGCCTCCTTATTAAATATGTCAATTTAGGTATTTGGTGCATTTTTTAATAATCATTTGGACTCGTCCCAATGTACCGTCAAAGTAGGAAATATTACAGCTCATAATACAGCCAAAAACTTAGTAATTCTCTAGGAATCGCTTTCGCGCACAACAGAGGTTTCACCCAACTCTTTCCCGACAAACGTTGTGACGTCATCCTGGGCATATCAATGACACTTTTTAACTATACTTGAGTTTTTATTTTTTGGCGCGTGGCCAAATCTTCACGATCTCACGGTATTTTGAATCTTTCTCAGTCGTGTCGCATGATCGCCAGCAGTGCTCGATACGCTCGCGATCATGCGGCATTTAGCGGCACGACTGAGAAAGAAGCGAAATACCATAGATATAGTATCTTAAGAAGACGCGAAATACCGTGAGATATTCAACGAGCTATAATATACTACATAGTGAATGAAGCGTCTCTATCTTTGAAGCCATGTTTTCGCAGTCGAAGTAGCGCCCTCTGGGAAACGAAGTATTCTAGCATTACGTTTGGCGCTGGTTACGGACGGGTGGGCGCAGGCTGCCCGTAATATGAATCCTCTTGTGTGTTGTCAAGATCAAAAACCAATCGTTTAAAAACGGAATGACAATATGTTAGGATAACGAAGTGAAAAACTTTAAATACATGTTGCTTATTTTCGATTGCATAGATCTATTTTTGTCATAAGAATGGACGCAATTGAAATGTTATTGTAGTTTGCATAAAGTTTGAAAGTTAATGTTATTGCAATACCGTTATTTAAATACCGTTATTTAAACGAAAAACCATAAAGAAATAAGTTGTGATACAAAAAACACAATTTGATTCAGTATAGTAGTTGAATATACCGCCACTCGTATGTTTTGACTTCAAAAAACATGGCGGCTAATAGTTTGGAGAGCCTCCACTACGAGCGCTGAAACTATAGGGACAGCCTGTCTATGAAGTAATATGGACTGACATGTGACAGCCACTCTATGTAGTTTCTCTTTGAGTAGTGTGCGCGGGAAAAGTTAGAATTAAGTTAGAAGAAGTAGGAGCGATGGGAATGGCGCGAACGCGAGAGTAACTCTGTGGGTTTTATTGAAAGATTGTCGATTTTAATCGTGGTACATAACATATAAAATACTCGGTTATGTGACAAGTAGTTTTGGTTTTTACTGTCTTTTCTGGATTTAATGTTTGCACTTTTTTAAAATGTACAAGCGGAGGATTAAGCGGACAGTGTCTGCCAGTCCTGTGGCAATTCGTACTCAGAACGTTAAATCATCAAATGAGCTTGACACTTCTGCAAAGAAATTGGATTTAGGAGTAGTGTCAGAACCTGATAAAGAGAACGTAAATGTTCCAAAGGAACGTAGGGCGGATCATCATTTGCCTGTAAGTCGACAGAAATCGTGCAATGCCGTTTTACAAACCGAAGTATCCCAAAGTTCAGGTACTAAGGCGAGAAATATGCGTTTCGCAACGCAAGATAAACAACAGGTGCCCTACTTCGAAAAAGTCCTTTCGTCATGTGGATTTAATTTGCGTGATTCCGAAGCATACGTGCTCTGTAAGTGTCCATAAGCTTTTTTTTAAAAAATTTATTTAGTAGTGTATTCAGATAAAATAACTTTCAATTTCTGCAGCGGAAGATCAGACGATCTTTATTCAAGACCTTAAAAATAAATTGGAAAAAAACTCTAGCTTTCCCTTGAATGTCACTGGTTCCAATGGATTTATTCCAACACTTGAAGAATTCTTCAATGATACTGAAAATTTGAAGAAATCATTGCAGTTGACCAAGGTGGTATTTGTGAATGTAGATATTCATAGTTAAACAGAATAATTGGTATAATCTTTCTTATTCCTTTGTGCATGAACTTCATAAAAATTCCAAATAAATATTAGAAATCATTAACCCAGCAGTGCATGCAGGTGGTCTGAGAAACGGGATGTCTTTTCTATAATATTGTGATTGTAGTTTGGCTTCCCTGACCTTTGCCTCCAGGTACCTTTTCTTTCGACAGATATTTCACACCTCTTTTGAGGAAGAGTATTTTTATCTTTTCTGGTGGCGAGACAATCTAGAACTTTGCATGGGCCTCAGAGACTACCTGCGTGCCCTTGTGCAAAGATCTCGTTCAGTATGTTACGCAGCTTAAAGAAATAATTGTGCGAAATATGCAAAAGGTTTATTTGTTTGGTGCATTAACTAACAGTTTGTAAATTATGCAATGAAGGAAAGTTGTCAAATATGTAAAATATATCGAATGCAATGAAAAGTACATTTCAGCCTACATCATTTTTTTTCTTTTGAATACAATCCACTAAATACTGTAATCAATTATTTAAAAATATATCTCATTATTGAAAATAATATCATCTTTATTCTGGTACACTCCCTTTATCGAAATTATAAGGGGAAATTGAATTAAGGAAATAGCA